TTTAAGGGATGTGGACCTGAAACCCACGGGTAGTGGGGCTGGCTCCCCCTCCCTCCTCTGGTAGGTGCAGGGTAACAGTGGACAACTGCTCCAGAGGTGTTTCGTGGCCGGTGGCCACCCCTGTTTAGAATGGAGGCCAGCTCTCTCTTCCCTGGGGTGAGAGAGGAGGCCGGCTTGGCGGGCTACAGCTCTTTCCGAAAAGTGGGCATGATGTACACACTCCCAGCCAGGCCGAAATCAATAGCCATTAGCTTTCAAGGCATTGCCCGCAAAAGTGCCTGGGGTCTGCAGGGTCTGGAAATACCAGCAGGGTCCCAGTGTGAGGTGACAGTGGCTAGACTCTTTGTTCAGAATGGGACAGCATACTCTGTCACCACCACTCAGGGACACGTAGGCAGGGCCACTTATGAAATGACAAGAGGCTTGTCACCAGGCTGCTGTGGTGTAGCCAGGAGCACACCTTATGGGACAGGTGACTGTCCCCAAAGGTGTGTGCATGATGACACAGAGATGACTGTGGGGACAAGAGTCTACCATTTAAGCTGGAGGTAATATAGGCCTGAGAGGAGATGGTGACCAGAGGTAGACGGGCCCCACAGACACCAAACTTCACTAGGAAATGGTGGACACTAGAACACCCGTTTAACAGAGAATGCATGCGTTCCCTACAAGCCGGGGAGAAACGGGAGAGGGCAGGAAAGAGCAGGGCCCTTCTCCCTTCCCTGTCGGCTGCATGGCCATCACCGAGGGAATGCAGGTTCTGTGGCACGGGGGTGGCCCAGAGCCTTCTGTTACAAGTGAGTAACCAGTTCTAAAGAGAACTGGGACAGGGTGCAGCCTGGCACAGAGGGTCCATAATCTGCACGCGCACGTGTGTGCGTGTGTGTGCATGTGTGCGTGTGTGCGTGTGTGCGCGCGTGTGTGCGCATGTGTGCATGTGTGAGTGTGTGCGTGTGTGCGCATGTGTGCATGTGTGAGTGTGTGCGCGTGTGTGTGAGTGTGTGTGCACGTGTGCGTGTGTGGGCAGCTTGAGAGGACATTAACTGTGGGTGGAAGCTAGAGCCACCCAGAGGAGGAAGTTTATATAGATAAGAGTAGATGGTTCTTGGGTTCTAGCAGTCTCAGTGTAGACAGGCAAATCAGAGCACTCTGGACTCCCTCATGCTGGGGCTGTACGCTGGACAGCGGTGCTCTTAGATAAAAGGCTGCAGGCGAGGGAGGGAGGGAGGGAGGGGAGATGGATGGAAGGAAGGAGGGAAGGAAGGAGGGAAGGAAGGAAGGAAGGATGGAAGGAAGAAAGCCCATTTTCAAGGCTCCTCCTATCTGAGCTTAGAAGTACAGTGACCTCTGACCTACCCCCTACCAGATCTCTAGTAGAATGAATACCAGTCCCCCCCCACCCAGGAGCTGCTAGGTAGGTTTTCTCTGCAACTCTATTTATTCCTGTCGGCTGGGGGGCTCAGGGGATGCCATCTGAATTAACACAGTGACACAAAGGGTGAGGTGCCAGCAGGCTAACCTCATCAGTTCAACAGGGGTCGCCTCCTCTGCCTCTCTGTCAGATGGCAGGCAACATGTGTCTCGAGGCTGCGGCCAGCCCGAAGCTTCGGAAGAGGAACCATAGGGAAGTGGTCACCATTCATTCCGGGGAGCGGCTCTGCGACTCACTGCACGCACAGCGTCCCCACAGCACACAAACACAGTCGTTTTCACTCAGGAACCATCAGCAAACCGATACCACAATAAGCAACCCTAGCTCCTGCAGGCACAGGCTTCCTAGACAGACAGCATCAAACCTCGCGGACAGCATTGCCAGCCCAAGTCGCGAGTGCTGAATCTTAATCAAGGGTAATGCCAGCGAGGCAGGAGATAGCTGGCGGGTCACTGGCAGACAGGGAGACAGCCAGGCCAGTGCCGCACAGGGTGGGCAGCAAGCGGGATCGGTCGCGGGGTGGCAGGCGCGGCCAGGTGGGAGCCCACCCACCCTCCTCCGTCCAGCACAGTTACCTCAAGTGCAGCCCGATGGGCTCTCTGAGGCGGTCTGCTTTGGAAAATATGTGGGTGGTCTGATTTCTGATCAGCCGGCAGCGTCCCCAGACATCACCCCAGCTCTATCATGTAAGTTCCCGGGGGGGGGGCGGTGCCCGTGTCCGGAGCGGCACCCCTCAGATGGTGGCTGCTGCATCCATTCCTGCGCCCGCCTCACCTGCTTCCCTGGGTGGCTGCTTGTTAATAAAGGCCGCAGTCTAGTTATCAGGGAGCTAAGGAGGCAGCGGGCACAGTGACGCTTTCCTTAAGGAGTTGTCACTGCAGAACGTCAGAAGCAATTGGTGAGTGAGGAAGAGTCCCGCAAGGGTCGGCTTGGGAGGCAGCAAGTCCATTAGCTTCTATTAGGGAGTTCTCATCCTGTGGAACAGGCTGAATTATTCACGAGCGCCTCTCCCCTAACAGCTCAGGAAGTGCAGTGCCCTGCTGCAGCCTGGCAGGGCGGTTGGGGTGCAGGGTGAAGTGGGGGTCACGCCCCTTCCCCTGCCCTGGCCTTTGCTACCTCTGCTGCCCTTGTGCCACGGGCGAGGATCTTCGGAGCCAAGCATAGGAAGGAGATGCCTGTTCGTTATTTGAATGCCAGACACACACAGCTCATGGCGTCTACTCTGCCTCATTCCAAACCGTGGCTGCAGTGGGCGGCTCGGGTGGCCGTGGAATGTGATCGCTGCCACCGGAAAGAGGCACACAGGGTTGTCTTCACCCTCCCCTAGCATGTACCCTGATGCCTATACCTGGGAGGGTCTAGCAACCCGCTTGGGCACAGAATGCCCACGCCTCAGGCAGGGGCAGGTAGGTTTCTTTCCCAGCGTATCTCCTGATGTGGGCTTCAGGTAAAGCTTTTGGATTGTTCTCTGTGAGGCCAGCGCCCAACTGAGGCAAAAAATGAAAGAAAAAAGCCACTAACTCACTGTGGTGCCTCCTACTGGCGGGGGTGGGGATTATTTCCCCACCCTTTGGCCTCACCAAGATCCGGAGTCTCGTTCTGGCTGCAGGAACCCGAGTGGGACCGTCGGTGTCTGCTGGAGCCCAGCTTCAGTGACTAAGCACGGTCCTTACCCTCCTGCATTTCCTCCACAGAACAATGTGCTGGGGGCTAGCCCTGGCTAGAGGGGAAGGAGGATGGGGGACATGTGGGCCCATCTGCAGCAGGCAGAAAAAAGAGGTCCCCACGCACCTGGAGAAGTGGACCCTAGCCAACCCACTGACACATAAGCAGAAAAACTGTCATCCGCTAGACAACACCTGTGTGCCATGCAGGGATTTACTCCCTGTTGATCTGGGAGCTGCTCAATTGGTAGCCAGGACAGAATGAAAACCCTGTCACAAGCACTTCTGCCTTCAAAGGGCCACTGTTAAGTCACGTGACGAGCTCTGTGATGGCCATGCTGAGTGCTGTGTTGATGTGGGTGCCTCATAGTGAACGTTCAACAAACAAAGATCCCAGCCCTTTGAGGTCATCACCAGAAGTCCAGCCTGACTGCTTATGTGAAAAACTCCACTGAGAGGCAAAGAACAAGAAAGACCTAAGATCTCCTGGTCCAAGGGCCAGCCAGAGCTATGCACAATACACTACAGTTTTACCTCAGCCAGCCAGCGCTGTGCACAGGTCACTACAGTTTTAGTTACACATGCTCTTTACCGGGGTTCCATTTCAGCCTGTTTCTCTGTCACCTTTCTCCTACCAGGTGGAGGTGGACAGGCTTTCTTGAGGATGGGGTACAGGTACAAGTTTTATTATCTAGATCCTTCTGAAACAAATGCCATAATTGCCCATTTGCCACACAGATGCACACACAGTTGTTTGCACGCTCAAGTTCAGGCAGAAGTCTTACCCAGTCAACATTTCAGTCAAACCAGAGTCTCATCCCTGTAAAGAACAAGACCTTAGAGACGATGGCACAAAGGAGCCCGCCCACGAACCCAGGCGCGGCCATGGTCCTGAGGCCGTGGGAAGGAGACAACGGCATGAAAAACCAGTGCTCATGCAGAGCACGCAGCCCAGATGCCTGGCGCATCACAACATCCCACAGTACCACGTCTGGCATGTGCTCATCAGGTGTGGACAGCGGCATCTGATGTCACAGGTTAAGACGCTACGGCAGGTCCTGCTCCCTGACACGGCCCTGAGGCAGGCTGAGCCAGCTGCCTGCAGGCTTTCTGCAGCTCTGATGCCTTGTTGGGCTGGAAAGTCTCCCAGGAGGGGTATGTTTTCTGAGCGCGTCCTTCACCTTGCAGGTGAGGCTGACACAGCCTAGCGGGGAGGGTCTGCCTGGCCTGAGGGGAGCATGGGCGGCCCCACATCCTGACTTTTGCCAGGCCATCAGCTGGCTTCCCATTCTCCAACCAAGTAAGTGCATCTGAGAGCTATGGTGACCCGCAACCTTGATCCAAATCACAGGGCACCACATACACCTTGTGAAGGTACAATCGATCTCTCGAACCACCCACAGTGCCACAGGTTATCTGTCAGTCCATCCAAACCCAAATCTGTGGGCGACAGGAGGGACAGACGGATCCTCTCCTCCAGTAACAGAAGGGAGTGCAGACCCACAGCCACAGAAAGGGAGGGGCCCATACACTAAAAAATGCCCTCTTTCTTTTCAACCCACAGCCTTGTAGACACAGGCAAGCATAGCGTTCTACCGCTGAGCCCCACACCTAAGTGGTAAGGGAAGTTTCCGTGGTCGATTCGGCTGAGAGATGAACATATATCTTAAGTCCATTTGGTCAAATCAAAGCAGACTTCAGTCGATGAACACACGCAATTAACCTGACCGCATGCTCTCACCAGGGCATTGCACTGAGAGGCATGGGCACAGCCTGTCATTAGGGGCAGCGCCAGCCTGCATCTTGCCCTGCTTGGGGGTGGACACAGCCCTCCCCACCACACCTTTGCCTTTGGCTTTCGGGGTTGAGAGGAGGAGGGAGAGGAGGAAGAGAAGGATGATTACCTGTAAAACTGGAGCTGTCTTTTGGGGCTCCCATACCGAGTACTTCGGATAGCAATGGAGGAAAGGGAGGAAAAAGGAAAGGAGAGAATATGCAATTGGCATCAACCACAGGCAGGCGCAAGCTCAGATTCATCACCCACACCCCACAGCCCCCACCCGCCACGCTTCTCCAACCCTGGCTCCAGCCAGGCTGGCTGACCAGGCTCTGCCAGACGTATAAGCCAGGTTCCAAATGCTCTGCAACAGTGCCGCCCAGTGGCCAGTGGGGCACAGCCTGCCCTGGTTGCCGAAGCGTCCAGAGGCGTCCAGGCTGGCCTGAGACTCTGGGGCCCTCCTCAGGACAGACACTGCTTCCCGCTGGTTTTCGCAGACACTTGCAAGGCTCAGGCTCCAGACACTAGCTAGAAAGGTCCGAATTCCCAGAATATGTAGGCTTGGGGTCTTTCAGGATGGCAATACAGGCTTTGGGGTTCTGTGATGGCTCTGCAGCCAGCGGCTCTCACTAGCGCCGCCTACGGGAGGCCTGATGTTCAGAAAGGTTGGCTCACACAAGGAGGTCACGGTTGCTCTCTGAGAACGGGGCTGTTGCTGGCTTTTGGAAAAGGGCAGGTGCTGGCCCCCAATGCCCGTGAGCTCCTTGAGGGCTGGGTGGGATACTAGAGCCCACTGAGGAGTGACATGCACAGAGGAGAAACAGAAGCAGGAGAGGGTGCTCCAGGCACCACTGAGTCGCCCAGGTAACCTCAGCCGAGGTCTCCAAGAGTCAGCGACCAGAGACAAATCTATTGTGGCTCAGTGCCATTCAGAACGTCTTTATACAGGCTTTGAGAGCTTCCATTCTTTTCCTGGGACCTGCACACCTCTCAGCTCTGTGAGCCCTGCTTGAGTCCTTACCCTTCCCCCAGGGGAAGTTACCTGTAGATCATCCCAGGGGAGCCCGTCTGCCGCAGGGAGAGTCGAGCCGGGGACCCCGTGGTTGATTCCGGATACATGGGGCCGGCCTCAGTTATCCAGACCAGCTTGCTTTTTCACGGAGGGGAAGTCCTGAAAGAAAACGAAGACAAAAGGGTGGTGGTTAAGAAGAGACTGAGCAGGTTTGGGCTGTAGGAGCTGCCCATGTCTGCCCCCTCCCCCGACACACCGCCCCATGGACTCGACCGGGGGTGGGGGTTTGCTGTGGAGGTTCCCACCCCACACCGCTCGCACAAGGGTCTGTGGACTCCTCTGTTCCCTCTCGCCTTCTAGAACTGATCTTAATGCCTTGTCTTGCTCCCGGCTCCACCTACAGCAGCTTCCTGCGCTGCCCTGATGTTCAGGGAGTTTGCTTGGTGCCCTCAATGACCCCTGGGCCCTGGGCCACCCTCCTTGTGGGCCCCCCTCCTTGTGCAGGGTCCTCCCCTTGATCATGACTGGACTCAGTGACGTGGTTCTGACCAGGAAGATGTGGCTCAGGAGATGGGTTGTCACTGGATGACACGGGTTGTGATTCCTGTCCTGCTCGGCATCTTCCTTCCGGTCCTCTATTCATCCAGCCATCAAAGTCTCCATCATTCACCTGAAGCCCTGGTTGGTTCCTAGCTGCTCCCGGCTCCCCAGACACCTGGGCATCTGTGTCAAAGGGCACCTTGTCACGTGGCCCCTCTCCCCCACTGTTGCCTCTAGGCTGTGCTCTGCTGACTGGTTCCCACCCGAGCCCATGGTTCACACGCTTGGTTCCCACCCGAGCCCTTGGTTCACACGCTTGGTTCCCACCCGAGCCCTTGGTTCACACGCTTGGTTCCCACCCGAGCCCTTGGTTCACACGCTTGGTTCCCACCCGAGCCCTTGGTTCACACGCTTGGTTCCCACCCGAGCCCTTGGTTCACACGCTTGGTTCCCACCCGAGCCCTTGGTTCACACGCTTGGTTCCCACCCGAGCCCTTGGTTCACACGCTTGGTTCCCACCCGAGCCCTTGGTTCACACGCTTGGTTCCCACTCGAGCCCTTGGTTCACACGCTTGGTTCCCACCTGAGCCCTTGGTTCACACTCTTGGTTCCCACCTGAGCCCATGGTTCACACGCTTGGTTCCCACCTGAGCCCATGGTTCACACTCTTGGTTCCCACCTGAGCCCATGGTTCACACGCTTGGTTCCCACCTGAGCCCATGGTTCACACGCTTGGTTCCCACCTGAGCCCTTGGTTCACACTCTTGATTCCCACCCGAACCCTTGGTTCATACTCTTGGTTCCCACTTGAGTCCTTGGTTCACACGCTTGGGCCACCTAGTCCTTCTGGTAACAGGCCACACTCACACCCCTCTCGGCCTCCAGGTCCCTATGCTGACAACTCCTTCACCCAGCTGTCACCTTCGGCGGTGCCCTCCCAGATACCAGGCAGTTCCAACAGTCTGTCTGTCTGCGTGCATGCGGGTCTGCTTGTTGCAGGTCACCAGGGTGGGAATCTCAGAAGGCCTTCTAACCGCCATGCCCCTGGCCTCACGAGGGCTCAGAAGGTTCCCTGATTCAAATTCACAGGGCCCACTGCCATGGGCAAAGTGACAGTTTGGATTGGCAGTGACCCCCCTGAAATTGGAGGGTGACACTTAGCTAAATAGGTTCCTGGTTCATCACACAAAAGCTCCTGAGCTGTCATGAAGTGATTCGGAACGCCTCCCTGAAGCCCCGCAGTGTCCGCTTTTTCCGCCAAGCACCTTCCGTGTGTGTGTATGTGTGTGTGTGTGCGTGTGCGTGCACATACACAAGTGTGCATACACATGGAGAACAGAGGCGTCTTCTTCAATCATGCTCTACCATATTCTTTTGAGACAGTGGCTGTCACTGAACTTGGAGCTCACCAATTGGACCAGACTTGATGGCCAGTGAGTACCAGATACACACACACTCACATACACACACTCACACACATACACACAGACTATCACACACACACATTCACACACACAGACTCTCAAACATACACACATTCACACACACAGACTCTCAAACATACACACTCACACACACAGACTCTCACACATACTCACATACACACACACTCTCTTTCTCTCTCTCTCACACACACACACTCTCTCTCACACACACACTCTCTCTCTCTCTCTCACACACACACACACACACACATTCTCTCTCTCTCTCACACACACACACACACACACACACTCTCTCTCTCACACACACACACACACACATTCTCTCTCTCTCTCACACACACACACACACACACACACTCTCTCTCTCTCACACACACACACACACACATTCTCTCTCTCCCAGTGCTGAGGTTACAGGTGTGCACCCCCCAGCTTTTTCCTTTCTTTTTAAAGAAAGGGTGTCATGATATTACCCTGGCTGACTCTGGTCTTGAATTCAGAGACCCACCTGCCTCTGCCTCTCAACTGCTGGGATTAAACGCATGCACACCACACTTGGTCTCACACCCAGCTTTTTATGTGCGCCTTGGGATCAAATTCTGGTCCTTATCCTTGGGAGGAAAGTACTTTACCCGATGAGCCATACCGCCCCCATCTTTCTCTCTTACAATGTGAGTCCTTCAGGGCCACTGGTGATCTGAGGCGACAGCCAGATTCTCACTGCCCAGGTCTATGTAAGAACCCACAGATCCTGGAGCAGGGTGGGGTTACAGAAGCCCATGGGCACTGTCTTTTCAAGCTGGCAGGGATTTTACCCATGCATTGGGGACTGTGAGGCCTCAAGGGCAGTCTCTCCTTTAAAACCCATTACTGCCCACACCTGAGGTGACTCAGGTGCAGGGAATCCCTTCCTTCCTCTCATTGGAGTCACTAAAAGGTTGTCATTAAACTCATACGGACACAGGACGCCGTGAGTTCCTTAATGAAGAAAACACTGAGCTGTGCCGCAGGAGGGCCCTGGAGGCTGCCTATGTGAGCCGCGAGGCTTCTCACTCTGAAGCACAGCACATGACTGAGGGAGGGACACAGAGAGGGCTCCTCACAGGCTTGTAGAAAGGACCTTTGTGGCCCTGGCTTTCACGGAGATCAGCTGCAGAGCTGTGGTCCCCGGGGATGGTTAATGTACAGAATTCTAGAAGGACAAGCTGTTTATGTCAGGAGGGCTCAAGGGATGGGGTAAATGGGTCTCTGATTCTTAGATGGGGCTGGGGACAGGAACTGTCTGGCATCTTCAGTGTTCTTGGGCATCGCCGATTCTCTGGCCCCAGGGACCTCAGTCTGGGAAGCCACTGGGCTGGCTGTTAATTCCTACAGCTGGAGCCAGAGGGCCAAACCCAGCCTGCTGCCAATTCTTGTGAATAAAGTTTTATTGAATCATCTCATATTCATCTGCTGAGGGATGGGGCTGCTTTGATGCAGGGTTGAGTAGTACGGAATGAAAGTCTAGAACATTCTCTTGCCTGTTATTAGAAGTTTGCTGACGCATGCTCTGGGCTACTGCCTCGACTCTTGAGGAGACGACCTTTCCAAGGATTCTCTCAGCTCTGACCCTGAAGCTTCCTCTCTGATCATGGAGGACACTCAGGGAACTTCCCCCCACCCCCCATGGCTCCTGGAAGGATTGGCCATGAGGGACTTCCTTCAAGATCTCACGTAGCCCAGGCTGGCTTTGAATTTCTCAGTCTCTTGCTTCCGTCCCCCAATGCTGGGGTTACAGGTGTGTACCATCACTCCCAACTGCATACGCTGCTGGGTCAAACCCAGGGCCTCCTGATGCCACGTGAGCATTCTACCAAGCAAGCGACATCTCAAGATCACCTGTGGAGAAATCCACCTGCCTGGGAAAGAACACCAAAGCAGAGTTTTCTCCTCAACGCCAGAGTGCTGTGCCCTCAGGGGCGTTCCTGAGGAGGCTCTCTGCTCCAGGGCATCCTCCTGGACAGACTCCACTCCGTCCTCGCCTCTCCGAGGAAGCCACTCTTGCTAAGTCTGATGCTGCCTCATGTTGGACCACATCAATGTAGCCCTCACCCCTCTCCCTTGGCTGCAGGACCCCAAGCTCGTGGGTTCTCTGTCCTCTGCGCTGCCTGCGTGGATCTAGACAACTCCTGACTCTTAGGCTGCTCCCGGAGCCTCTCTGACCTCACCTAGCAAGTGAGCCCCATTCTGCACAGCGACACAGGTTCTCCCTAGGTCCCTGAGCTTTGCAGAGCTACCCCTTTCTCAGGACTCCTGGAGTCCTCTTCCAACTGAACTTGGCCTCTGACTCCAGAGGCCTTGCTTTGCCTCTACCTCAGGCTCTCCCTGCACACCTCATCTTAAGCTGCCAATTGTCTCCCCACGCCCGTTCTTCACTTAGTCCCTTCCCGTGCGACTTTCCCCCTAGACTCTGTCACTACTGACACGCCTAAGGCTCACCCACTTTACTCTTTCCACAAAAGCTCTGCTGGTTCGCGAAGGCTGGGGCAAAGGGCGCCCGGTGTCCCCAGTGTCCCCGCGGTGCCCAGCTGTTGTTGCAGGAGATGCAGCAGGAGAGGGCGGGGGCCGGGCAGCCTGTGTTACTGAAGGCAGCACACCGGGCTGTGGGCTGTGCTGGTAACAGGGTTGGGACCCTGCCTGAGGATCTCTGGTGTGCAATGCCTGCTTTGTCCACGGGAGGCGCTCATATAGAATCTTCAGGGTGGGAACAGCTGCTGTCATTGGAGAGGAGTGGGGGGGGGGGAGGTTCCACCTTGAAGAGACTCCAAGCTTCCCTCCCCAGCCAGTAGCCAGCTGACCCCCCACCCCAGACCCACAGCCACAGGGGAGCACTGCCCTCACCCTGAAGACCACGGCTTGAAGAATTTCCCTTTAAGAAAGCCCCGTGGGTCTACAATCCAGCCCAGCAAGCCCCCCACCTCTCTAGGAAGGAGGGGACTTGGCAGGATTTCTCACAGCTCCCACTTTGCATTCAGGATGCAGCCCGCCTCTCTCTGCAGCTGCTGCTGTCCAATCGGGAGTGACTGCACCGGCTGAGTAGCCAATCCGGATGGAGCCAGCATCCTAATGGGAATGGTAGGCTGGTAGCGTTAAGGCAGGTACCAAACCTCGAAGAAGGTAGGCAGAGCTGAGCTG